TGTCACCCCTCCAGCGCCCAGCGGAGGCAAAGCACCTGAAGCCACAGGCCGATGCCTGTCCGATCTAATCCAATGACGATAATGGTGGGTTCATCCACCAGAGTTGGCTCCAAAGGCCCCTGCGCCGTCAGTAAATGAGCGTTGGATTCCAATGAAGGAGAGACGTTGCACGGCTCTCCCAGGTAATTCGAGTAATTAATAGAAAGAAGCATTGGAGGAATGCATTGAGGTAGTTCCGTTCTAACTAACGTGGAAGAAAGGTAGAAGTTATAGTTTTGCTTCTGGAACGCAGTCACAGAAGCGCATTGCATGTATCATGTCTGAACTAATAAGCTCGTGTCAGTGGCTAGGACTCGACCCTCAAATACTAGCTTGCTCTTGAACGTATTGTAAAATGTGTAGAGTTTGACATCAGAAATTCTGACATGAGCACACACAGCTATTTCACACGTAGTTGATGTTGAGGGTGGCAGATTAATAACTTGCTGGCCACTAGCTTACGAGACCATTAGCTCAAGTCAATTGAAGGAGTTGACCCCATCCAAACTTGTTGATGCAACGGCTCCAACACTGGAGCGGTTCACAATGACATGTTTGCACATGGTAAATGATCATAGATCGTGTTCTTCATTTGACTGAGGGTATCATGAGGGCCCGGCGGGCAGCAGAGCCAACTATTCGCCTGCCTTTCACAGGCATCCCACGTTGACCTTATTTCCCGCGAGCACACAACACCATACACTAGAACCTGTGCCAATGCCTCCGACCTAACAATGACAGGACCCGAGGCATCGCGGCAGGATCGCAAAGGGGCCAACGGGTCTCACAGGCAGCATTTCCTCGTGTAGGTGTGAACGATGAAGTGTCATTGGATTTTTTTTCCCATTCCCTATGGACGTTGCCGAAAACGTGATGCCATTCCATGCTAGAGATTCTTCCGTTCCTCACGTAAACACCACATGCAAAAGAACCCACAAACCGCCCAAAAGACACTCTAAATCGTCGTCTCGTAGGGGAGGAGGGGTGACCGTCTGGGGCTTGTTCTCCTTGAAGTCGACGGTGCGGGCGTCACGGGGCATGAGAGGAAGGCGCTTGAGGGTGAGGGCCTTGCCCTCGGCCTGGGCCTTCTTCTTCAAGGCAGCGTTCTCCTTGACGCGGCGGATGAAGTCGTCTCTCGAACGGGAGGGGGAGATGTGCTCGACGCGGATGTTGATCCGCTTCTCGATGTAGCGGTGCTTCACCTTCTTGTAGATGATGATACCGACGGCGGACTTGGTGACGTTGTAGATGACACCGGTCTTGCCGTGGTAGACCTTGTGAGGCATACTGTAATTCGACAAGTCAGCCCTCTCTTCCTGCGTGTATTTCGCCCATGTTCGCAATTCCTCCCAACCAAGACTTCCAGTCTTCCAATTGTCGCAATTCGAATTCGAGGGCGGGTTTGTTCGCTTACCCCTTCTGGACGGCACCGTTGGTCTTGATGTCGACGATATCTCCGACTCTGTACTGGCGAAGGTACGTGGAGAGCTTGATCATACCCTTCTCACGGAAGTTTCTGCTGAACGCATACTGCAAGCTAACCGTCAGCAATCCGGCCGCAATCTCGAGATAGTTCGTAGCTGGTAATACGTACGCGCGTTCCCGCGCGAAGACCCGCTGGGTGACCCATTTTGCCGGAGTGGTTGTCGTAGAGGGCGGAATTTGGTGATGGTGTTGTCGGGTCTTGAAAAAGATCACGAAGTTCCAGACACAACAGGCAAGGCAAAAAAATCGGCGACGTGTGTGTGCTTTGCTGACTCAGTCCCGTAATTCTTTTTTCGTTGTGGAAAAGGGCACTGCACGTGACCCTAGGCGAACAGGACCCGCATTTTGACAGGCGCTAGTCAGCCCTCGCTCCCCACAGCCATTTTTCGCATTGAGTGTTGCAAGTTTCACGAGAGGCTCTTCTTTTTTTTCCTTTTCGTTTTCTTCGTCAACCACAATTCGAAGGATATCGACGAGTCGGCAAGATGGCGCCGTAAGTAGACTGATTCTCAGTCGCATCGCAGAAATCAATATGCTAATTCGATCTTGCGCAACAGCCTCACCTACTCCAAGACCTCCAAGGTCCCCAACCGTCCCTTCGAGGCCGCCCGTCTGTCAGTATTCTCCGGCCACTGAACAAGAGCTTGCTCTGTTTAAGTCGTGAATCACACCACTGACTTCGATACGATAATAGTGACTCCGAGCTTAAGCTCGTTGGCGAGTACGGTCTCCGCAACAAGCGTGAGGTCTGGCGTGTCCAGCTTACCCTCTCCAAGATTCGTCGTGCTGCCCGGTATGTTCTTTCGGCTGTCGCAAAGTGGTCGCGTGGGGATATCCCTTGGGCTAACAAACACCATAGTCAGCTTTTGACCCTCGACGAGAAGGACCCCAAGCGTCTCTTCGAAGGCAATGCCCTCATTCGCCGTCTCGTGCGTGTCGGTGTCCTCGACGAGTCCCGCATGAAGCTCGATTACGTCCTGGCCCTGAAGGTCGAGGATTTCCTTGAGCGCCGCCTCCAGACTTGCGTCTACAAGCTTGGTCTAGCCAAGTCCATCCACCACGCCCGTGTCCTCATCCGCCAGCGTCACATCCCGCGTCGGCAAGCAGATCGTCAACGTCCCCTCCTTCATCGTCCGTCTCGACTCCCAGAAGCACATCGACTTCGCTCTCACCTCGCCCTTCGGTGGTGGCCGCCCCGGCCGTGTCCGCAGAAAGAAGGCCGCTGCCGCTGAGTCCAAGGGTGACGGTGGTGACGACGATGAGGATGACGAGTAAATGCATCGCCATTTGTGCTAAGGATTGGTCAAAAAAACTCTGGGAATGGTTGGCATACCAAATACCAACCATTGGGATCATCGGGGTGTTTATAGTCACGGCGTTCGCCAGAGGCAAAATGGAATGATTGCATCAAATACGGATACCACGAATGAATGTTACACAAAAGTCTTTTCTTGTTCAGTTCAGGGAACCTCAAGGCATCGTCTTACATGCGAACATTTGACAGGGAAATGGGTATCATGTTTGTCCAATGCAATGCTCATAAGCCATGCCTAAATATCTAGGTAGTCTAGACCAATTCATCCTTGCCCAGGAACTTGGCCATCGGGTCGTTCGCCGCTGTCCTTTTTCTTCTGTACTCCTCCATCTCTTCCTCCGTAACACCGCCCATCATCTCTTCCGCTGTCCGTTTGGTCGCCGGCTTGTTCACCGGGGTGTCATCGGCCTTGGGAATCTCTACTTGCTGCTCCATCTGGAGTGCTAAAGAGGCTCCCGTGCGTTGCCGTTCAGAAGCTTCCCAAGCTAACTTGCCCTCCTCGCCCGTGCAGTAACTGTTCTTGACAACCGAATGACAACACTCGTAGCCCCATTGAAAATTTGACCACCAGCTGCCCCAGATAGATGTATGATTGTGAATGTAAACGTCCTCGGGGTACTTTGACTTAGCGATAACCTTTGGTGCACCCTTGATGAGACCGCTCTCGTCGTACTCGACATATTTTTCCGACTCGGTGATGACGTTCTTCAACTCGTCGGGCATAGTGTACTGCGAGTTGTCGCCGTACAGATCCTTGAGCTTCTTCTCACGTTCTTCGCGCTTCTTGTCGGCCTCTTCCTTCTCCCTCTTCCTGTAGAATTCTCCGGCTGTAGGGTTGGCTTGCAAATGTTTTGTCGTGTCACCACTTTTCTCCTGGGCCTCCCAGGCGTATCGCTGTGCTTGCTCGAACTCGCCGGCGTCGCCTGAGCCGCGCATAAAACCTTCCTCTGCAAACAAATTCGCAGCTTTGTCCACGGTTGCGCCGCTGTCCACAAGGGATCTCGTCTTTGGGTCGTACTTGGCGGATTCCAGGTCCAGGTTAACCAGGTACTTCGCCGTGTCCTCTCGTATTCTCAGCTGGCGAGTAGCTGTGCTTTGATGCTTGCTCATGTCGTTCTCTTCGGCGTACTTGTCGCCATCGTCCTGTTCCTCCTCCCCCGTCTCGCCTTTGGCCAGTGCCTGCTTCCTCAGCTTCTCCATCTCGTTGAACTCCTCGACGACGTTGCGATATTCCTTGGGGTCGTATCCATTCCAGCGATCGCGCTTCGCATCCCAGCCAAGCTTGACGTCCTGAACGACCTCGTCGGCCTGGATGTCTCTGCCGGTCCACTTTGCGCCTTTCGCTCTCGGCCGACTGAGGCAATCCTTGGCTTTGTGCGTCATGGCGCCGCAGTTTTCGCATGCGCCTTTTCGGTACTTTGTGGCAGCTGGGCCGGCCTTGCGACCGCGATCATACCATTGCGACTGCTCATTCTTCTTCTGGATACGTTGATGCTCGAGGTAATCGGTCTGATCATCGCCTTCTTCGCCGGCATAAAAGGGACGTTTACTGATGAAAGAGGGAATGTAGATATTCTCCTCCTTTGCGGCGGCGGACGCCTTGGGATCGGGCTTTCTCGGCGGTGGTGGCGGCGGCATCTTGGCGGTTTGTGAGGGTATGAGAGGGTTGTTGCTGGATAGAGTTCAGGCGACGGCGCATTCTCGTCGCGAATTTAGGTCAGGAAAGGCACCTGTGCTGATGTGTCTTATGTAAGCAGCCGCTCTCAGATGGTAAAGAATAGCAAGGATGACTTGAAATTGAGCGTCGAATGGTCTTATTGTCCTTCTTAATTACCTTTTGGTTCTTTCAATTTGAAGATTATCTATTTCAATTGCTCCAATACCAAATTCTTCAAGTTTATTCCCTAGCAAGTCTTTGGCTGAAGAGACGACTAATAGCACCTTTTGGTTTAAGGTAAGGTATTCATCCATCCGTAAGGTAAGCCTGCGGAACGCTTCAGGCTGCCGGAAGATGCCCCACCAGAAAGCACCTTGCCGCGCTTGCTCTAGTAGGGGAGGTAGCACGGTTTGCTGGAAGCCTTGAAGGAGCACCGAGTCACGCGTATTGCCACATGACTGCGCGGACCCTGGGCGTTCCCTCTTGGCCCGGCACGCGTCGGATCTTGCATCAACATGACCTGGTCGCGTCGTGAATACGCTTCTTTGTGTCATTGAACCCGTCTTACCATGCACCAAGCTGGGTGCTTTTATTCTGTATCATGATACTGGCCTCCTTTCCACCATCTCATCCTCCATGAGTGTTTTGGTCCTCCACCATGGACCTCTTCCGTGTTCGGCTGAACTGCATCGACCACTACCAGGCGACGCCGACGCATTACGATCCCCAATTACGGAATGATGTCGGTCCTGCACAGGCGAAGAAGGGCCCCAAGGTTCCAGTCGTGAGGATTTTTGGATCGACAGAGACGGGACAGAAAGTTTGCGCTCATATCCATGGCGCCTTCCCATACGTCTACGTCGAGTATCGCGGCAGCTTAGAGCCCGAAGATGGTAAACATGCAAAAGAACCGCTTAAGTGATCCTTGCTAACTATCAAAAGTGGGCGCATACATCTATCGACTTCATCTTTCCATTGATCATGCCTTGGCTGTCAGCTATCGACGTGATCAATTCGGAGAAAATGCAAAGTTCGTCGCCCGCATCACCCTTGTCAAAGGGGTGCCGTTCTACGGCTTTCACGTTGGATACCGCTTCTTCCTGAAGATCTACATGTTCAATCCTATCGTCATGACAAGATTGTCCGACTTGCTTCAACAAGGCGTCATTCTCAAGCAGAAGTTTCAACCCTACGAAGCCCATCTCCAGTACCTACTACAGTTCATGACCGACTACAATCTGTACGGGTGTGGCTACTTGGATGTATCTGATGTATACTTCAGAGACCCTATCCCTTCGTTTGAGAAAGAAGGAAACTCCCAACACCTCTGGCATGATCGGACGATTCCCAAGACTCGAGTCCTCGATGGCTTGACTCTACCGAGGGTCAGTCACTGCTCCATCGAGGTAGACATTTGCGTCCAACACATCACCAACCGACGAATGGTGAAGGAGCGCCGGCTCCACCACGACTTTGTTGAGCGTCTTAAACCACTCCCAGAAGATTTCAAGCTTGTTTACAGTATGGCTGGCCTGTGGAAGGACGAGACTCGTCGCCGCAAGTTGAAAATGCCAAATGCAGATCCAGGAAGCAGCCCCTTTCCTGCAGAAGTTTTGGTGTCAATGTCTGCAAATAAGCGCGACTCGCAACCGCAAGGGTGGATTCACGAGGAAGAGTACAAAGAAGAAGTCGCAAAGCTCATCGAAAGCGAAAAGGGGTTGGAAGAGTCCGCGCCGCCGAGCTTTGAGACCTTTGTGGACCATTCGCCGCTGGAGGCTGCCGTGAAGACTGCACTCCAGTCAGTAGAGGATTTATATCCATCCAACCTTTTGCCGGCCCTCGGATTACCGTCAAATCATGTACCAACAAACAAGAATCCGGCCAGCAGTATTGAGGTTGACGAGCAAGGCGTACTCAATCTCGGAGTTGATGATTACGACCCTTATCCAGCCGATTCTGACGAAGAGGCTCTTATTCAAATGGGCGAGCCGATGACGAGGCAGGACGGTCAAATTAAAGGCCCTGGCATCAAGGGAAGGCCATCTGTCACTAGTGATACTGGATCCAGAAGCGAACCTGCCGCTGTCGACCCGACAATCAAGATCATCAACGGGCTGGGGATGCAATACGAAGGCGTCTGTGCCAGCAGGTTGAAGACCGGCAACCCACCAGTGGTGCCGGTTTGGGACGATCTGCTCGATATGGCTGAACAAGAAGGCTCGTGTCCAAACTCAGCGAGCCATCAATCTTAGGTCATTGCCGCACGGAATCGGTCAAGCGATCTATATCTCCACATGCGACAGTGTCTTCTAACAAACGCCCAAGAACCGAGCTTCCAGTATCTCCCGTGTCCAATACGGTGACGCCCAAACGGTCGCTCAAAGGCATCCTAAGCAATAGCCCAGCTTCCGAGAAGCATCAGGTCACGATGTTGCCCCCAAATTCTCAAGACAAGCCACGATCATCTCAGAATGCAGGCTCCAAGTCCGCGGCCAACCACTTGTTGGGTTTTCCAGTGGTCAAAAAGCCAGGAGGACCCGGGCACGAAGCTTCGATTGAGTCAGATGAGCCAGCCCCGAGCTTCGCAACAAGCTGAAAAGGATTCCCAAAAACATGTTTCCTTCAGTCTAGCGCCCGAAGAGACACGAAGCAGCCCATACCGATTACTCCAGCAAAGAAGGTTCGAATCGCTACTCCAGAAACCGACTCAACAGGGACCGAAACAGGAACGGAAACAATGCTCCATCGGATTCAGACAGCGGTCGGATCCTTCTCCGCAAAGCGTCAGTGTGTGATTGGAGTCCTGCCACCGGCTCCCAAACTTATCACGTCGACAATGAAGGACTTGCAGATTCCCGACATGATTTACCAAGATGCCTACTACAGCGAAGAAAAGGACGTCCCGGCTCGTCCCAGAGAGTATGCCGGCCGAGAATTCCGGCTCGAGAGCAACACTCTGCCCTATCTGGCGGAATTTGACCCAACTGGGACATCTGCCGCCAGCATGGGCATTAAATCAGACACACCCATTGATAAGGCCAAGAACGACGTGCTTACAACGCCCAAGCAAGCTTGTGTTCATACCGAAGCTGGGAGATAGCTCAACCGCCGCCAAGCGTCAAAGAAGTTCAAGATTGGTGGAACAAGAAGCATCCCGTACAGAAAGAGCAAAAAGCGTTAGGGCAAAGATCACGGGCACCCCTCAAGCTACAAGACGCAACCTCTCCCAGATTGACGGGCCTACCCCGAAAAACAAGCATGGCTTCAAGTACTCGCCCAAGAAAAAATCGACCAGCGTCAAGCATGAGGCGCAGTACATGAGTACTATGGCCCTCGAGGTTCACGTCAACACGAGAGGCAAATTTGTTCCCAATCCCGACGAGGATGAGGTCCAGTGTATATTCTGGTCTATCAAAGCAGATGGCACCGCCAGCAGCAGTCAGGAAGCTTCAGGGGTATAATTGCTGGTGTTGTTGTCTTATCGCCAGACGGATCCCTGGCCCAGAGGATGCGGCGGTATGTTTCCGCAGAGGTCATTGAGGAATCGTCTGAGCTCGATGTCATGGTTCGCATGGTACAAATTGTCAGAGACCACGATCCTGATATCCTGACAGGGTATGAGGTTCATGGCAGCTCGTGGGGTTATCTCATCGAACGAGCCCGAGTAAAGTACGATTACGACCTATGACGAGTTTTCTCGTATGAAGAAGAACTCTCACGGCCGCATCGGAAAAGAAAACGATCGATGGGGCTTCAACACAACATCGACGATCCGCGTGACTGGCAGACACATGATCAACATTTGGCGAGCCATGAGGGGAAATTAAATCTGCTTCAGTATACCATGGAGAACGTCGTCTGGCACGTTTTGCACCGCCGCATTCCTCACTACTCCTGGAGAACCCTGACACAGTGGTACAACAGCAGTAGACGGGATCTCGATAAGCTGACGCGCTACTATTTGACACGAACGAGGATCGACATTCAGATATTGGAGTCAAACGAACTCATCCCGCGAACAAGTGAGCAGGCCAGACTTTTAGGAGTGGACTTCTTTTCGGTCTTCTCTCGCGGTTCTCAGTTCAAGGTCGAGTCCATCATGTTCAGGATTGCGAAGCCCGAGAACTTCATGCTAATTTCCCCCAGTCGGAAGCAAGTCGGCGGCCAAAACGCCCTTGAATGTCTCCCGCTGGTGATGGAGCCTCAAAGCGACTTCTACAACAGCCCGCTATTGGTACTCGACTTTCAGAGTCTGTACCCTAGTGTCATGATTGCTTACAACTTATGCTACTCGACATTCCTCGGCAGGATTGTCAATTGGCGGGGGATGAACAAGATGGGCTTCACCGAGTATCAGAGACACAAGAGGCTGCTGGAGCTCCTCAAGGACCATATCAACATCACACCCAACGGGATGATGTACGTCCGGCCTGAGATTCGGAAATCTCTCCTGGCAAAGATGCTTGGCGAGATTTTGGAGACCAGAGTCATGGTCAAGAGCGGGATGAAGCAAGACAAGGACGACAAAACATTGCAGGCGCTGCTGAATAACAGGCAGTTGGCGCTGAAGCTTTTGGCCAACGTCACCTACGGATACACATCGGCATCTTTCTCCGGCCGTATGCCTTGTTCTGAGATTGCCGACAGTATAGTTCAGACAGGTCGCGAGACGCTCGAGCGAGCAATTGCGTTTATTCATTCACAGGAGCAATGGGGCGCGGAGGTCGTCTATGGCGATACGGACAGTCTGTTCGTGTACCTCAAGGGCCGGACCAAGGATCAGGCGTTTGACATTGGCAACGAGATTGCCAAAGCCATCACTGATATGAACCCTAGGCCGATCAAGCTCAAGTTTGAAAAGGTCTATCACCCGTGTGTTCTCCTGGCGAAGAAGCGCTACGTGGGTTACAAGTACGAAAGCAAGGATCAAGTCACGCCCGAGTTCGACGCCAAAGGCATTGAGACGGTGAGGCGTGATGGCACGCCGGCAGAGCAAAAGATTGAAGAGAAGGCCCTCAAGCTGCTGTTTAAACGGCGAACCTCAGCGAGGTCAAGGCCTACTTCCAGAAGCAGTGCGAAAAGATCATGCGCGGGTCCGTCTCGGTGCAGGACTTTTGTTACGCGAGGGAGGTAAGCTCGGCACTTACAGCGATAAGGGCCCGCCGCCACCGGGGGCGCTCATCAGCACCAAGAAGATACTCGAAGACGCACGCGCCGAGCCGCAGTACGGAGAACGAGTGCCGTACGTCGTTATCACGGGGGCCCCGGGGGCGCGCCTGATCGACCGGTGCGTAGCGCCCGAGGACCTCCTCAACGACTCGCATTCGCAGCTGGACGCGGAATACTACATCTCCAAGAACCTCATCCCGCCGCTCGAAAGAATCTTCAACCTGGTGGGCGCCAACGTGCGGCAGTGGTACGACGAGATGCCCAAAGTGCAGCGGATCCGGCGGGTGGACCAGACGCTCGGGGCGGCTGGAGGGCTCGGCAGCAAGAAGACGCTGGAGTCGTACCTCAAGTCGGCGTCGTGCATCTCGTGCAATATCAAGATGCAGGTGGAGGGCGTGCTGTGCGGCAAGTGCCAGCAGGATGCTCCCTCGTCGTTATTCAACCTGCAGACGCGACTCAAGGACGAGGAGAGGAAGTACATGGACGTGGTGAGGATCTGCCGGAGCGCCCCCTACCGGCGGCGGATGAGGTGCCGTGCGATAGCAAAGACTGTCCCGTGTTTTACTCGCGGTCAAGCAGGGCGCGCGGCTCAAGACGGAGAAGAGCCGCTGGAACCTGTTATTCGGGATTGGTCGCAAAGGCTGGGAGAGCCGCGTTGGAGTGGTGAGGTTGTACGAGTGTGTGCGGATACGCTACTTTTCATTACGGGTGTGGTCATTTCATTTTGGGCGTTTGGCTGGATACCCTGGGATCTGGACTCTGGATAAGGTCAGTGTTGGTGTTGATGTCGGTGATCGGTCTAAAGAGATGGGGCGGCATGGCGGGTAAAGCGCACCGGCCCTCAGGCAGGATACAAATTATTGATAAGGAGGTTATGATGCCACGGCAAGGGCAAGCCACTGTTTTGAGTAAGGTGGGTGGATGGGATTGGACGGACGCGACTCCGTCCGATTTGCGTACTGTACAGAACAACGGAGTATCGGTAGAATACCTCAGACAAGCACTACTTATCAGACGCATGCACGAAGGTAGAGATGGCGGCTTAGGTAGTGTATGGAGCGTGTGACTGATGACATCGTGAGGAGATGGGAGAAGGAGACCCAAGAGCCGAACTCTTTCAGTGCTACATACCTACTTGATTGAAGCTACTACTGCTTAGTGACCTCACTGTTCGCCAGGGGTCCCTCTCCTTGTTTCTCGCGGGGTAAAAGGTTCAGGAAAGATGAGGTGCAGGGATGGTCATTACCGACTCGACCGCAGAGCCACAGGGCAGTTGGAGTCTTGGAGACTTGCCCAGAGGCGGTAGGGAACAGCGGTCTGCGGGTCATTCGGAACCCTCAGCTCAGTGGCTATTACCGCTTCACTTTCCACTTTCCACTTTCCACTCTCCACATTCGGGCAATCTGGAAGGCACACCGTAAGGCCACTTCATACTTTCTCTTCAACAGCTTGTACGCAGTAGGTCGCCTTGGCTCTCGATCCGCCCTGAACCATCTTCCTGTGCTCCTGTCCATCCGTAAAGAAAAGGAAACTTTTGGTCTGCTGAGTAGTGCTGCAACCCTCTGCGCTCCGTCCCCATCCATCCATTCGCCTGTTGCTTGCAGCCAGCTTTCACAAGGGGCAAGACTGCAAAGCTACCATCACATGACGGCGTCCAGAGCGGCCTATTGGACGTTCCCAAGGTTCACAGTGACCTGCATATTTCTCTCCATTGTCTTACCTGGTCCATTTTCTCGATCCAGAAACGCCCTGTGGCCAAGACCCAGATCCACGAGAGCTATCTTGTCCACTTTCTATTGTCCACCACACGCACACAAAAAAAGTTACCGAATACCTACCTAGCTGAGCCTCCTAAACGGCACCAAGCTTCCGTTGACTTGCCCATCCTGAAACAAAGAGCTTCCATTCTCGCTCCACAAACACCACCACCAACTGTCGCCACAAGCTTCCCCGATCCAATACGACTCTCCCCTCGCCCGAACACTCTTCGTCTCGTAAACGACCTAAGCGCCGATGGTCCCGCCTATCTCTCCTCTCCGCCTGCTGTCCTTCCGTTAGCAGCACTGCTACAAGTGCCGCGCGAAGAGTGAAGGAGTTCAGACAAAGTGCGAGAGGGAAGCAACCCAGCAAAAGCTCCGGGGACCGGCGCGATGGGGGGCTGGACCGGCTTCCTCATCACCTACCTCCTAGGAGGCCTTGACCTCCTGCCCTTGGTGATTCTCACCGTCTTCGCCCACGCCTACTTGACCCTCCGTACCGACAGGATGCCGAAACGAAATCGCGACGCTGTCGCCGACGCCGCCAACACTGCCGCTGGCGGTCCGGGCTCCATCGTCCAGCCCGGCGACGACCTCACCGCTCTCGAGGCCGTGAAGGCCGCTGGCAAGGACGATGCCACCGCGGCGGCCACGAAGCGCTCGGCGCAGGTAACGATGTAGCGGCGGTACTTTGCCGTGTGCAGAGAGTACACTCCATGGGCATCAACGCGAAGCCCATCGAGAGGTCCACCCCGACCGGCTCGACTAACCGTCGCCACGCCGAGCCAGAGCGTCTATCAGACCATGTACAGGAGCATATTCGAGCGGAAACGACGCCAGGCCCCTTGGATAACAGGAACGGGCTGAGCCAGCGTCCCAAAAACGCTGGCAATGTCTTCTATGTCGTACTGAGGTATGCGACTCCATTGCGATCCGTTTGCAACTGCTCGTCTACTGCGAGACTAACCTGCACAGACACGGGCACTTGATGCTCTTGACGACGATGAACAACTCGAGTCCGGCAGTGTATCGCTATGCACCACACATTAGCATTACTCGGAGGAGACGTCAAGAGCATCAAGTGCCCGGTCTGTGGCAGGTTAGTCTCGCAGTAGACGAGCAGTTGCAAACGGATCGCAATGGAGTCGCATACCTCAGTACGACATAGAAGACATTGCCAGCGTTTTTGGGACGCTGGCTCAGCCCGTTCCTGTTATCCAAGGGGCCTGCGTCGGTTTCCGCTCGAATATGCTCCTGTACATGGTCTGATAGACGCTCTGGCTCGGCGTGGCGACGGTAGTCGAGCCGGTCGGGGTGGACCTCTCGATGGGCTTCGCGTTGATGCCCATGGAGTTACTCTCTGCACACGCAAAGTACCCCGCCGCTACATCGTTATCCTGCGCCGAGCGCTTCGTGGCCGCCGCGGTGGCATCGTCCTTGCCAGCGGCCTTCACGGCCTCGAGAGCGGTGAGGTCGTCGCCGGGCTGGACGATGGAGCCCGGACCGCCAGCGGCAGTGTTGGCGGCGTCGGCGACAGCGTCGCGATTCGTTTCGGCATCCTGTCGGTACGGAGGGTCAAGTAGGCGTGGGCGAAGACGGTGAGAATCACCAAGGGCAGGAAGGTCAGGCCTCCTAGGAGGTAGGTGATGAGGAAGCCGGTCCAGCCCCCCATCGCGCGGTCCCCGGAGCTTTTGCTGGGTTGCTTCCCTCTCGCACTTTGTCTGAACTCCTTCACTCTTCGCGCGGCACTTGTAGCAGTGCTGCTAACGGAAGGACAGCAGGCGGAGAGGAGAGATAGGCGGGACCATCGGCGCTTAGGTCGTTTACGAGACGAAGAGTGTTCGGGCGAGGGGAGAGTCGTATTGGATCGGGGAAGCTTGTGGCGACAGTTGGTGGTGGTGTTTGTGGAGCGAGAATGGAAGCTCTTTGTTTCAGGATGGCAAGTCAACGGAAGCTTGGTGCCGTTTAGGAGGCTCAGCTAGGTAGGTATTCGGTAACTTTTTTGTGTGCGTGTGGGACAATAGAAAGTGGACAAGATAGCTCTCGTGGATCTGGGTCTTGGCCACAGGGCGTTTCTGGATCGAGAAAATGGACCAGGTAAGACAATGGAGAGAAATATGCAGGTCACTGTGAACCTTGGGAACGTCCAATAGGCCGCTCTGACGCCGTCATGTGATGGTAGCTTTGCAGTCTTGCCCCTTGTGAAAGCTGGCTGCAAGCAAC